CCCTTTACTCCCTTTCCTGCTTGCCCTCTCTCTGCTGTACCTCTGTACACCTGGCTGGCTGCTGAGGGCTGACACTTTAAAGACATTGGCTTCAGCTTCTGCCGCTAGTGGAATATCAATATCTGCCTGCTGTACACACACACACACACACACACACACACGCACACGCACACACACACACACACATACACACACACACACACACACACACACACACAGACACACACACACACACACACACACACACACACATACACACACGCACACAAACGCATACGTGTCACTCCCTCCCACACATGTAGCAACATATAGCACTCATGTATGCACACATGTCCACAAACACACCCTTCCATCCACACACCACCCACTAACCCGCGCAGAGCAGCTGACTCTATTAGAGCAGACATAAAGGGAGGCTGTGTCTGCCATGTTACACAGTAGCAATGACTGAATGACCGCCATACCAACAAGAGGGGCTTTGGCAGAGCTACAGTGGAGGGCACAGTGAGTAAACACAAAGCATGTCCCCCTCCACCTCCACATTTTTGTGCTGCTACAAAACACTTTTATTCTTTCCAAATAACATGTCCTGCATGTGTTGGTTACATCAGAAGAATTTTAAGCAGCTAACTGTAAGCCCTTTAAGACCCCATCCCTGCTTGTGCATGTGTCTATGTACAGAAACACACACTCACACCACAAACCGCCCTACCCCACTCTCTCTCTCTCTCTCTCTCTCTGTTTCTCTGTCTCTATAGGCTACCCCTCAAACCTCCCTCTCTCCCCTGCACTCTTTGTTGATTTACGCATGGATGTCTCTCCATCAAAGCTAGATTACTGCTCGCAGTGTTGCATGGCGTGGATCTCCTTGCGCCTGGGAGTAACGCCCCGTGGTAGATTGACTCAAGAGGTCATCACATGATTTTCACTGTCTGTTTCAATTGTTTTGGCTATCTGTGTAAATGGCAGTTTTAAATTTCACACCATAAGTGCTTGTTTGCAGCAGTAAAAACCAGTCTGAAGATATCTGGGTGGATTAATAGCTTCATTTTCTTGTATTTATAGAAAATGTTCTGTTGTGTTGGACTAAAAATAGCTAAAATAATAGGGAGGTAATTCTCTTCTCACCATTTTATGCCTCTGTTGTGTTTACTCACTGACTGTGAGTTTAGCCTTGATACCTTCCTGGAAGTCACAAGAGACAAAGTAAGTGTTTTACCGTTCTGAAATTTGCATAACGTTGGCCTGACACCTAGTGGATACAATAATGCTGGTCTAAAACGTGTATTGGCAAGACAGACAAAATTAGATTGAATTCATTATCTCCATTATCTGTTTTCTTTAAACTAACAATCCCACACTTGATTCAGCTGCAACATGACTGAAGATTTCTTGAAGAGCAGTCTGTGCACTCTGTGCCTGCATGTGCATGATCAACACTCTTTAAATTTCAAATGGGATATAAATGTTTGGTTAAATTCATAAGAATCATACAGGTAATTTAACACTTTAAGATGGTATTGACCATATGCACAAATGACTGTCAATGAAACGTCAATACTTAATAACGGTGAAAATGAAGCTGTACTGAAGAAAGGGTCATGTAATGCTTCAGATTTTCAGCATATCAAACCCAAGGTTGAATTCATGTCTAAAATCTATTCTGCAATTGCCATTGGATGTTTTGACTTTCATTAGTTTCCTCTTTACATATCGGTTTGCATTGTCAGTGGCACCGTGTGCTTGCAAGGGATTCCACTGCACAAGAGATTCATAGAAAATAAAGCATGCAAATACAGGCTGAAATTTGTTTGACAGTGGCCAGCGCATGAATACACTGCACATCATTTGTGCACATGGGTCTCATAATGACATGACATAATGACAGAGAAGTTGTTTATTGGCCCCAGTGATCAATAAACGGAATGGACTCAGGGACTTGTATTATTATGATGTTCTTTGTGTTACCACCAGTAACCACAGGTTACAGGTATCAACCAGAACTGAAATCATATGGATTATAGCTTGAAGTGCTTCTGCTAATGGGGGCACTAAGTGTTTGAATCATTAACAACATTTTTTCATAAAAAGAAAATCAGTTGCACAAATTTCGAGGCTCTAACCAGCCTTGTTCCACTCTTCTGTGGAAGCAAGGATTGTTTGGGTTGTATGCCTCAGCGTGCTTATTCAAGCGAAGAATCAGCGCCCCAGCACTAGAGCAAGCTATCTAAACAGACATGACAAAGTGACAAACCAGAATACCTCAGACTAAGCCTGAGATTTATCACAGAACAACAAGAAATAGATTGGGAAGAAACTTACAATTGAGGGACAGAAACAAGTGCCACACTGAGTCAAACAGAAAAGACAGTTGGTTCTCATGCTGGTGAGCACCATAATCTCAAAAAATATGATTTTTTGCAGGAGGTTTAACTTTTGGAACAGCGCAGATCAGAAATTATACAACGGGTCTCATTCACTCTCACATTGATTTGATATAAAAGATCTTAATTGAGCAAACACAGATGAAAGAGCATCGTTACCTGGCTTGTAAAAGAATGAACACTCCTTTCTCTTATCCATAGCCAATGGTCATTGTTTTCTGTCGAGCATGTATCATGAAACCTTTTAAGTACATTCAATACAACTCACATTTTAAAGTAATGAGAGGTAAAGAAAATAAGGGCTCCATGTACAACTATATATACAGTATATAACTTAGAGTCCTGCGTTAAGTACAATCAAATGAAGTCAAGTACAAAACAGAAAATAGACTTAATGTGAACTCACTTTCCATGTTGCTTTCAAATGGTCTTTTATTTGACCAAGGAGAGCTGTCTGCCCTTCACACACACACACAGACATACACACACACACACACACACACAGACATACACACACACACACACACACACACACACACACACACACACACACACACACACACACACACACACACACACACACACACAATACTAATCAGTGAGATCTAAATCCCCTGGGTATAGGCTCTATTAGACCATGTGCTTATGAGAAGATAATCATTTGGTGATATGAAGACACAACACCGGGTGGTGGGTGGCAACAGTAATGCTCCTGCATGAAAATGCTCTGCTGCAAACCGTGTGCCAGAGCCTTAACTTTTAATATAAGTTGTTGCCTTAAGGCAGACATTAATGAGTCCTTTTTGTCAAGGTGAAGGAACAGAGATAACAGACAATGTGCTTAACTTTAAAGGATGCAATCACAGCTTTGGATATGAGAGTCGGGTTATAAAATGACACTGCAGTCTTCTGGGAAAACAAGCTGAGCTTTTGCCCTTGACTATACAGATTGATTAGATTATCTTAATGTCAGTACCATGCAAAAGAGACAGATGTTCGTGTCTGACATTTTGTTGTATGACAGAGTCAGGCTTTTCCTGCAAGTATAGATAACAACTTATTACATTGCAATTTAGCTGACCTGTTAATTGGGTATTTTACTTTGAAATAAACCCCTGGCCACACATTTAAAAAAGTCAGATAAGTTGGAGTTCATTAAAAAGAGAACCAGTTTTTCACAATGACCAAGTGAAGTTTGTCTAGTATTACCACTAGATGGTGCTGTTTAGTTACATGCTGCTAGCTGTGTGAACGCAGCCCTGGTTCTGTGGTGTCACATGAGAGAATAATGTAACCTCAGTTTCCAATATAACGCTAACGTTTTCAGTCTGCCTTGATGTACAGCTCCTTTGCTGCAGAATTTGCAAATCCAACGAAGTCTATACTTGTATTTTCTGCCCAAAAACTGCAAAATGACAAACTGTTCACATAGATGGCCAGTCAACACAAGTAGTTTATGGTCTAATCTGTTGATTCTGTTGTGCAATCCATATTGAACTGCACTCAAGTGGTCGTGGTAGCTCAAGTAGCTATTTAAGTCTGATTTGCCGAGCTCTGTAAACAAGCCTAAGTACAAGAAAAACATGTCACATCTGTATCTGTGACGACTGAAAATGCATTCTAGTTTTGTTGTTTTTATCTTCCCGCATTTAAGAAAAAAACCCTGCAGGCTTTGATGCTTTGATTCTTCTCCAGCTTTAAGGAACGGGCAAACAATTATATCGCCACTTTGCGGGATGTAAACCATGAAAGCTGGTACTATAGTGAATATGCTTTATCTGTTTCAGTGAGCATGAAACAAATGAGATGGAAATGAGCTTAACAAACACAAAGATAGGAAATGCAAGCATCTGTTGTTGATGTACACTTAAATTAAGATATTTCTTTATGCTTAAAGGATGAATAGCATGTGTAAAAAATGACCTAGAAACCTTTTACAGGGCATCACGTGACCAAAGTTAAAAGCTTCTCATTTTTCTTCTGAAATCCAAAATTCATCTGAAACACATTCATTGAACACACGGTAACTTATTTGTTATATCAATAGTTGTGGTCAGTGGTTTTTAAATGTGGTTGCTCTTCTCCCTTGTCTGCAGACGTCTTCATATCTGTGTTTATGTTTGCTTCTACAGTAACCTAATCCTGTTTTTGTATTTCTGTGTGTCGCAGCAGCCAGCCGGCAGAGTAAGCGGCCAACAAAATGAGTGTTATCAAGTATCAGTGCTGTTTTTACTGCTACAATCATGTGCCAGACAGAGATAGAGATGATGGAGTGAATAGGAATGCAAGCTATAGAGAAGAAAAGAGAGGTCTTGCACAGGCGAAAGAAATAGTGAAAGAATGTGATCCTGGAGGAAGAGGGAGGGAAAGAAATAGATAGAAAGACAGAGATTGAAGTGATGAAGTCAGACAGATACTGAGAAAGGGCTCTAACATGTCACATGTGAGTGTGCCGGTGTTGCCAAAGAGAGGCTCTATTTTTAGGGAAGGAATGTACACAGAGGCCTCGTGGAAAGAGACCATAACAACAAACAGTGCGCAACACGCTCCTACAAAGAGACAGCCCCCTTTGGAACATACAGTCACACAGCATCAACACAAGAGAAAAGAGGAAGAAAGAACAGGAAAATGTCAAGACATCACATTTTCTGCTGAGATCTTGTGTCGAATACAGAGTGAGACCTCCAGAAAGCATATAAAGAGAGAGAGAAGAGGAAGAGGTAAGATGTGTATTCTAGTAAAGCTTCAGGAGCCACAGGCAGCATTGGTTTTGTCTGATGTTGGCATGGCTTTGAATACATTTTAAGTAGATATGCATCAAACATAAGCTTCACCTTGTGTTCTACTTACCTTACATGATGAGGTGCAATTTCAAAGTGTGTGCAGTCTTCTGCTGAAGTCGACATTTGTATTTTGTTGATTTAAATGTACATTTTACATGTTAAGTTTTGTCTTTTTTTTGGTTTTCTGCACATTTTGCATGCATATCTATTGCAGCCAATGGAGGAGTAAAAGCTGCAGTCACATTCATCAAGTTTAAAATTCAAAATGAAAACCAAAAAATATTTTTGAGGCTCTACATAAAATATTGCCACACAGCAGAAGGAGCACTGGTCTCATGAAAATAACATTTCTTCAACAGAAATAGTCATGCAGGTGTTCCGGCAATAATCTGCCCAGACAACTAGTCTCCAAAAATAATTAGGCAGGGATACTGTAGGCGGGCAACAGTGCTGAACTGGGCCTGTGTGCTGAAAGGCAATGATCTAAATCCATATAAAAACAAAAGTTAGTGTTATATTTATGAATTGAACAGGTTTGTAAATTGCTTGCACATATGTAAACTAGATATTTGGACTGTGATTTTACTGAAAGTTTACCATGAATATTTGTAGAATAAATTACTAATACATGACACAGAAACGTACTGAATCTAATTCCTCTAGCCTGGTAGTGAAGTAATGTGTTAACTTGACAAAATACACCAGATAGTTGTCACTTCTGAGGCTTTTAATCGGAACATTATGGCTAACAATCAGTTCTAATATGTCTTATAAATGAAAGAATCACTTTTCTCTTTTTATAAGCACAAAGGACTGAAATTATCTAAGATCTAATTGCACATTAAAGTAGAGCTACGGGGAGTTGAGTGGCGCAGTGGGTTGAGCAGGCGCCCCATAGGTAGAGGCTACAGTCCTCGCTGCAGTCGGCCCCGGTTCGAATCCTGCATTGGACGGCCCTTTACTGCACGTCATTCCCCCTCTCTCCGCTCTCTCTACTATACTATCCAATAAAGGCATAAAAAGCCCCAAAAAAAAATACTGGTAGAGCTACTATTAACTAATTTGATGTAGTATTGCAGACAGTATTTGACTGCTTATACAAACTTGCATTTCAGACAGTATAACAATAACATCATGGTGTCTCTCCTTAGAATGGACCAACCAGCAGTCAAAGTCTTCCACTACAAAGACAAGGAGCAGTCCTCTAACCTGCTGCTGCAGCTCAACAGACTGAGACAGGAGAAAATCCTCACAGACGTGTTACTGTGCTCAGACAACACAGAGATCCCATGCCACCGTAATGTCCTGGTCTCCAGCAGCCCTTACTTCAGAGCCATGTTCTGCAACAACTTCATCGAGAGACAGAAGACCAAGATTGACTTAAAGGGCATCACCTCAACCATTCTCAGTAGTATCATTGACTATGTTTACACTGGACTCGTTATTATCAGCATGGATATCGTGCTGCCTCTGATGCAGGCGGCATCCATGTTGCAATATGGCCGCCTTTTTGAGGCCTGCTCGGGTTTCCTTCAGGAGCAGCTGAGCCCAGAAAACTGTTTGAGCATGATAAGACTCTCTGAGATCATGAATTGTAACAGTTTGAAAGACAAGGCTAAAGAGATGGCTATGAAGAGCTTCTCCGATGTGTCAGCATCCGAGGATCTGTGTGAGCTCTCCTTAACAGAGCTCATGGGATACCTTGAGGATGATAGTCTTTGTGCAGAGGAGGAGCAGGTCTTTGAGACGCTTGTTGCCTGGATCCACCATGATCCTTTATCCAGGCGCGGTGCCATTAGTGACCTTTTCAAGAAAGTCCGCCTTCGGTACATCCACCCCACCTACCTCTTCCAATTCATAGCCAACGACCCTCTGATCCAGTCCTCCACCCTCTGCACAGAGCTCATCGAATCCGTGAGACGCCTCATGTTTTCTGTCAACACAAAATGCATCGGAGACGCAGCAGTGGACTTCAAACCTCTCTGGGTGGCACCAAGGCGCTACACCTACCATGATATGCTGGTGGTGGTGGGTGGCAGGAAGAACAACGAGCAGACCTCGAGGGAGACCCTAGTCTTTGATGAGAAGAACCAGAAGTGGCAGTGGCTTGCCAAGCTGCCCATTCGTCTTTACAAGGCTTCTTATGTTGCCCTTCACAGTGTGCTGTATGTTATCGGAGGCCTGACCACAAACACAAAGTACAGCCAAGTCAGTACGACTATCTACACCCTCTCCCTCAAGACCAACCAGTGGCGAACGGCAGAGCCCATGCTGAAGCCACGCTTTGCCCACCAGAGTGTCTCCTATCTCCACTTCATCTTCGTTCTGGGCGGCCTTGGGCCTGACAGACGAGTGACAGACAGCGTGGAGAGGTGGGATAGACCATAATTACCATTAATCAAGAAATTCTGTTGGTTATAATCTTGATAATAATGGCAGATAATAACATGTCTCCATAATGATATCAGGTACAACAGTATGTTTAACCAGTGGGAGTCTATGGCACCCATGCCTGAGGCTGTGCTGCACCCAGCAGTGGCTGCTACTAACCAGAGGATCTATATGTTTGGAGGAGAAGATGCCCTGCAGAACCCTGTCAGAATAATACAAGTAATGTTCTCCAATCACTGAGTTTATGTTTTCATTTGATTGTGGCTTCATTGATTCACCCATCTATCCATTCTCATTCATTCATTCATTCATTCATTCATTCACTCAATCTATTTCCCTTCACCCCTGCTCCCCCTTCCTGTCTGCAGGTGTATCACATTGCCAGGAACATGTGGTCCAAGATGGAGAACAGAACGGTGAAGAATGTGTCTGCTCCAGCTGCCATTATGGATGACAAAATCTACATCATTGGAGGTAGTAGCAGTGATTAAAACCTTCATGTGCAGCACTTTTGACAAGGAATGTGAAATGAAGTTAATTAACTAATAAATACTGATAATAATGATAACCATATTCTCTTTGCTGCAACTCAGCAGTATTGATTTTTTTTTTGTGATGCATCAAATTGTAGAGTAACATCACTACATTTTGATAGAGCCACATGTGCAGCCGCTCTCACACTAATATCTGCCCTGTCACAGGATACACCAGGAGAATGATCGCATACGACACCAAGGCCAACCGGTTCATTAAGTGTGCCAACCTGAAGGAGAGGAGGATGCACCATTCTGCCACCGTTCTCAATAACAAACTATACGTCACAGGTGGACGTTACATCAACGGCCATGACACCATCGAGGACTCAGATAATTTCGAGTGCTATGACCCAAAGACAGACACCTGGACATCTAAGGGGACTCTGCCGTATAAAGTGTTTGACCACGGCTCCCTGACTCTGACGTGTGTCTCACAGACGTGGGCAATATCTTAGCTGAGGCAGACAAGATTTAATGTTGTGATTTATTTTTAGTCAGTGTGTTTGAGGTCGAATTCAAATTTGAATTATATTAATTTGAAAGCAATTTATTTAAAGGAGCTACTTGTAGGTTTTGCTATTGCTACATAGTTAACATTAGCATTAACAGCTGTTTACTTACCAGGCTAGGAGAAACATTGCAAGTTCACTGTCAAACTTCATTCCTTTACTCGCCAAGAACTGTCTCCAGTGGTGGAAAGAAACCTCGCATTTTGCTTCTATTTCTTCTATTGAAGTTAGCGTGCTAACCAGTTAGCTGCGGCCCAGCCAGACTGTCACTGTCTGATAGCAAGTCACTGTAGTGTTCAATCTGCCCTGAAGAAGTAGTGCTGCTCAGAGGGCGTATTGTAACCTCTTTCATTGAAAATGCAATGATAGATGAAGCTCACGCAAGCGACCATCACCACCAACCGCTCCTGGCAAGAAACCACATTCGCTGGCCAATAGCCAAGACTGTCAGTCAAAAAGCATTGATGCAGAAAATGTACTTGTTTAAAAATGCCTGACACATAGAAGCAAGCATACCTCAAGTGTGTATATTTACTTGAGTAATGTTTATAACTGAATGTACTTTTCTATGTTTTTTATTTAAAATCCAAACCTATGAAAACAAGCTATCCTACTGCACAGCCACTTCTAAACCTGTCTGACTACACAAAGGGTAAAAGTGCTATTTTCATCCCGCTCTAAATCATGAGATTTCACTTGTCATGTTTAAATCCTGGGGCTGTGTACTGTTTGGTGCAAGTCAAAGCTTTGCTCAGCTGTTAGGTTTGAACCTGCTGCCGTGTCTGGTAAACTTTTGGATCACTGATCACTGATCATTGCTTTTATTCAAAATGATGCTGCAATTATTGTGATATCACTGTTACCGAGGGTTTCATGCAGTGGTGATATTTATAAACACAAAGGCTAATAAATGTGTTAAAAATGTAGCTTTGGGCTGCATTTAGATAACTATTGGTAATGTTTTTAGTTTGTGCAGTTTTTCCACTGCTTTGGACCTATTGCCCACATATATACTGTATATAATGCACAGCATAGCTCTGCGACATTATATATCTACTGTTGTTGGTGTATGTTGAAATAATAACAGACTTTTGTTTTTTAAAAATGGTTTTCTGATACTTTTGTATTGTAATCTTTGTGGTAATAAAATGTCACTCTTTGCATCTGACCTCTCTCCATCACTCCGTCAGGACAGTATGTCTTAACAGCTCTCAGTCAGTCGACTATGAATGCAGCCTGAGCAGCACATGTGTCCCGTATGTCTCATCATGTGTCTGTTTGACCCCATTGATACTCCTGTCCACACAGGACTTCTACATGCTCAGGCAGGTTCATGGCAATGTCACACAGAAGATAATATAGAAAATGTATCCTTTTACATAGAGCAACCCCTAAATATCATCTTGTGGGAACATTTTGAAATTCTTTTGCTCCACCTGTCGCAGGTGAAATTAAAGCCAGGGGTGCCCCAAGAAGCCCTGGCTGGCTAACATGAGTTTTTATGTTTCTGATCACATGTCACATGGAGATGCACAAGAAAGTGGTCGGCAGATGCTGTAAGGACACTAAAGCCTGATTTAGCTGCCTGTTTAGCCAGCAGGAAGGATCTCATTAGCAATTTATTTAAGTGTTTTAAGGGAGTACAATTAGGACTTTTGGAATTTCTTAAAAAATGACAGATAATGTAAGTGTGAAGAGATGCTGGTGATTCTGCTTTCTGGAAAGTATTATATCACCTCTTTTGAAATGATTCCTCAAAGTGAAGATCAGCAACAGCTAAACTGATTACATAATTTCATTCATCAATGACCTTCAGAAACCAATGTCAGCTGTTTCAGGTGGAGTAAACATAATGTGACCAGGAGATATTACACAGGAACCTATGGGCATTTCTCTGAAACCAGAAGTCACTGGGTCAGATGTTTCACTTATTCAATGCCAGCGAATGGAGACTGGGGGACAGTGGGTGGAGTGTGGCGAGAAAAGGCTGGAGGACTGGAAAAGCTATAGTGTATAGGTGATCTGATGCTATTTTGAGAAACAAACAAGAGGGCAAACGCTACACCACGTGAGGCATGTGCCCCGGCCGGTTGCTGCGCAAGCTGGCAGATGTGAGAGACGACTAGAGAGCGAGAAACTCATGAGCAGGGTTTCACAACAGAGAATCTGAGCGAGTGATGAAACTCATCCAGGAGGAACAGCAACAGGTGTACGTGTGTGACTGTGAGAGTGTGTGTGTTTGTCATTAAGGTTTTTGGAGGGTCGAGCAGGACTGACCAGCTGTCACAGCGAGTCAAAACATCACAACAAAAACAGGGATGACGGACAGAGGAGAAAGGCAGACAGATTATTCACTGACGACCTTTTAACTTGTTCTAATTTGATGTCTCATGCATCTATTTGGCTCAAACATATTGACATACATGTGGGAGATATTTATATTTTGGAAATATACAGATTGTGTATATTGATACTCAATGTTTATGTAAATCCAAACTAGGCAAGCGTCTAGAGCCATGTCTCTGTGAGATTTTTTACTCAGAAATAAACACAAAGTACGCTAGAGTTGAGGCTCATTAGAAAACAGGGGATCCAATCCATTCAAGTAGATATTAAAAAGATATTTCAAATGATAATTAAAAACGTTGACAGTTACAAAAGTTCATGGCAATCCATCCAGTAGTTGAGATATTTCAGTTTGGATCAAAGTGGTTGATTGACCAACAGACAAACTTTGTCCCCCTAGATCCATGTGGTTAGCATAGCTAAAAACAAGCTGGAGCAACACCAACCAGAGCAGAGCTCTTCATTGTTTATGATTCAGTGAATAAACCAAACCAAAACTCCTTAGAGCCTGAGGTCATAGCTTCCTTCTCAGTCAGTCAGCCACCAACTGACCAAACACTTACAGGGACTTTCCATGTCATCCTGTAGTTTGGCCTGCTCTAGAAATAGATTTAATTCGACTTCATTTGACTCCCAACACACACACACACACACACACACACACACACACACACACACACACACACACACACACACACACACACACACACACACACACACACACATTACTGTATAGCCTCTGCAGTTCACACAATAATACATTTTTAGTCTCCAGGTTCCTCTTTTTACTCACATCACTGTGGCTCTATGTGGTTAAACACGGAACTGCTGAACTATTTCAGTGTGAGTCACTTCTGCAGTGGCAGCAATTATCAGTCATGATCAATATACCTAGTCAGAATACATCTTCCTAATGTGCTTTTTATATTCCCGTATGACGTCTTGTTGACAGATTGTGACAAATGGACTGTGTGTAGAGCTCTGTGACCTTTTGCATATACTGTATCTGGGTGTAGCATAAAAACCTCAGACATGAAAACCACAGATGCACCTGTTTCAAAAGCTTCAGTGACCGGACCTGTAATGAGCAATGCATTAATGTTTCAATGATAACTGAGACTGAAATATGTTTTTTCTGAGTGAGAACCATTTTTTCTACTTGTCTCATTCTTTGTGAATATCACAAAAAGGGCAACTAGGTGAACTGAACAACAGGAGAAGAGGAATCAATAGAGATATTGTCAACAATAAGTTAAACTTCTAGCATTACAGGGTAGTTTGTAACCATCAGTGTGCAGCACAAAAACCACATAAGCCACATCAGCAACCCTGGTCATGCTACTCTCACAGGATGTGTCCCAACACAAGCGCTAGCTGAGCTGCAACACTGGCCTGCTGGTTCTTGGAAGAAGCGTACACTCGTTGTGCACCATGTGCTGCTGCTGACATGTTTTGCAGATTGTATGGTGTGTCATGAATTATGAGGACCCAGAAAAAAAAAACACTCTCTCTTTTTCCCTCCTCCTGCAGACAAACATGTAAGCAAACACTCATTCACTCACATGGACACACACACACACACACACACACACACACACACACACACACACACACACACACATGCATACCCACTGCTATGGCATTTTACTGAGAATGAATACACAGTGTTTTTTATGCTGCAGGGTTTTTAGGAAGTGAACTTCAGCCTTTTACACTTCAGTGATCAGGCGGGCCTGTGCTTTAAATGACTACAGCACTTCCTCATTGATCCTTTTGTTACTGTTGTTACTGTATGCTGATGACAAATCCAATATACGACTCCTCCTGCGCTGTCACTCAACAATGGGCGTGAAAACATTTTATTTTTCAACAAGCTTCCTGCCTGTGAAAGCATAAGGTTAACTGACACGAGGAAGGCTATTAGCGCCATAAACACACAGATATAAACCTTGAACCTGATTCACAAAAGTCTCACAGATGAGTGTGTAAATATGTCATGTGTTTAATTAAGCTGATGAGAGGTGACCCAGTGCCCTGGATAGACTTAGTTACACATTATCTTTAATGGCACGGCCCAAAATAAACAAAATACCCTCAACCAGTCTTCACAGATCAGACGGTGCTGTTTTGGGAAAACTGCAATACAATGGTAAACCCCCTCCTGCAAGCTCACACATGCATACTCCCACACAATCCACAATGCAACCCAATACTCTGGAGGAATCCAAAGGGCAACTTCATCTATTTATAATACCAGGAGTGACTGAGAATCAGGGACTTTACAGCCACGTTACTGTGACACTATAATGTTTTCTTCCTTTTTATTTACAGTCACATAAAGCCATAATGTTTTCTTCCTTTTTATTTACAGTCACATAAAGCCATAATGTTTTCTTCCTTTTTATTTACAGTCACATAAAGCCATAATGTTTTCTTCCTTTTTATTTACAGTCACATAAAGCCATTACTGATAAGCCTGAGCAAAATACTTCCTGAACAGTAATTACTTGTGTCAACATCAGTGCATTAGCCATTAAAAGCTGTAGTGAGACACAGTGTTATTGTACTCCGGAGGTTTTCAAACTGTGGTGTCGTGAATGGGGTCTGTAAGAATGTGTAAGACTGATCATTACTCATGACTGACATTGTCAGTGGTGAAAGTGTTCAATAATCAGATCCTTTAATTAAAAGTAGCAGAACCATAAAGTAAAAATATTTAGTTACCATTAAAGTGGCTGCAAACAGTACATACGTTTTACATGCTAAATGTATTTAAAGTATCAAAAGTGAAAATATCCTATATGAGTTATGAGTGTTCATGGAGAGCCTATGGTCCTGAATGTTCACCTTTTTTTTTTTTTTTTTAATCTTGTGTGCACAAGATTAAAAATAACAATGTTTTGGGAGTTCAGGGGCTCTGCTGTTAGTTATGTTGTAGGACAAGCTACAACTTTATCATTCTTATTAGCATACTGCATGCCCTGAACAAATCAAAACTGGACAGGTCTTATCAGCCACATAACACCTGTGTGAGCATACAGGGCCTTTAGTCTATAATAATGCATCAAATTTAATATGTTAATCATATATGTTTGGCCCGAGCCTTGTTTATTTCTTGTTGGAAAGTCAATCAAAAGAGATGCAAAATAACCACAAAGATTCACAAGATGACTATAAAGAGACTCAAAATGACAGAACAGATGCAAAACAACTACAAAGAGATGCAGGATGAGTTCAAAGAGACAGGAAATAACTACAAAGATACACAAAACAAACACAAAGATATACAAAACAAGTATAAAGAGACAGAAAACAACCAGAAAGAGACACAAAATAAGTAAAAACATACAAATCAACTGGAGAGAGACGCTTAATGAGTAAAAAGAGGTACAAAATCATCACAAGGATATGCAAAACAATCACAGAGGAACAACACCAGAACCAAGAGATGTTAGATTAATCCATTTTGTGTGTCTCTGAATTTGTGAGTTTTGTTCTTGGGGAATGTGGAAGAGGCGGGGCATGTCTGTCGCAAGGGGACATTGTCTGATACCTTTTTCCATGAGTACAGCTGTTAAATAAATGTGGTGAAGTACAATTTGTGTGGAATGTAGTGGAGTATTCATAGTAGTAGTATTCAGTAGTATTCAAGTATCATGATTGGAAATACTCAAGTAAAGTACAGGTACCTCAAAGTGAAGTACAGTACTTGAGTAAGTGTACTTTCCATCACTGGTCACAGTAGAGACAGTTACATAACTGCCCTCCAAGCCTTCTAACTTTGAAACACGTGCTTTCCTAACGGGTTTATCATGTCAAACCCCTTCAGAATTAATTTCCTCGGTGTCTTCTGTCCCTGCGTTTTTCCATGACTTGAAGTTTTGTTACCTCTGCGCTCCTCTCCAGCACATTTTGCAACGCTTCAGTTGATAAACAAAGCCACGTGTTGCAGGGAAGTTTCCAAAGTGGGCGGACCTCATGTATTTCCGGGTTCTGAGTTAGAAGATATAAGAAGAGCTGCGCAATGACAACAGTAGAGCAGAAACACGTCCAGCACAGAGCGTTTTCAAGAAGGGATACACAGTAACCCAAGCAGGGACTATTTCCTGATATTTTTTTTTAGATTTATTTAACTCCACGACATCGAGTGAGGATGCCGTTCCTCGGACAGGACTGGAGGTCACCGGGTCAGAGTTGGGTTAAAACCGAGGAGGGATGGAAAAAGACAACAACAGACGACAGAAACAACAACGTCTCCGTGGAGAGGTTGGTCTTATTAAACAACTCCTGACATATGGCTCTGTCTCTCCAACACAGCACTTTTTGAAATTGCGCAACAGTTGGATGCGCAATCACTTTTTTAGTTAGAGAAAGATGGAGGGATGAAGGAGGGGGAGATACTTTGAAGAAAGTCCAAACAGCATTATGAACAAAGGCAGGGGGAACAGACAGACAGCAGGCCGGCACCTTCATGTTGTTTCCATCTCACTGAGCCCAGTGTCTTTGTTTTTACTTGGGGCCATGTTCCTTTTTCAGGCTAATCACTGAGCTATTAATAACCTCACAACAAGTGAGTGGATTAACAAACGTCTGTTGAGTGAGTACTACTTTACATAATGACTGCAGACACACACACACACACACACACACACACACACACACACACACACACACACACACACACACACACACACACACACACACACACACTAACATGGCCTAAGGTTACAGATAAAACACATGTATAACAGAGACAGTTAGAAATATTGATGATACCTTTGTTTTGATGCTAGTGAGAGCTGTCTGTGCGGAAGAATGCGGCTCATGCAACTGAAAAAGCTGGACATAAAAGTCTGCACTGTGTACTGAGATGAAGTGGGCAAATGGTGCCTTTTAATGAAATATGTGTCCTTGTGTTTTTTCAGCTTCTGCAAAGCCGAGCAGGAGGAATGTTTCAACAAGGAGAACTTGCTGCTTTCTCTCAGCTACGACATGGCTGCCAAGAAGAGGAAGAAAGACCTAATGAACAACAACACCAAGGTCCCCTGTGAGTCACACTCGAAGAGACACACAGTCTGACTTTTTCTATAAATATACTAAGGATAACATTTAGTGTGTGGGGTTATAAATCATATGATAATATACCAAAGTTGGGTTCCGGATCAGGAATATTAGCAGGAGAGACTCATGAGGATGTTATGTAACATTCACGAGGGGAGCACTTCCTAATAATAATGTTTATTATTAATTATCATTTCATAAATTCTTTTTTGATAACTGCACTCAGTCTGGAGTGGTATCTCATTTGTGATGTCTGCGTGTATTCGTCACAGTGCTCATGAGCTGCTTAATGAGGGCAGGCCACTAATATAAACATTCTGCTTTCTCCCAGATTTCCACAGGGAAAAGTGGATTTATGTTCATAAAGGAAGCACCAAGGAGGTAACAAACAAACTCATTTAGTTTCACATCAACTTTTCATATCATCTTTGCTAATGTAAACATGCAGAGAAAACTCTATACTCGCGCTTCAGATCGCTATCTAATACCTTGATAATTAAATTCTCCCAGCGCCATGGATATTGTACACTGGGAGAGGCCTTCAACCGCTTAGATTTCTGCAGCGCCATCAAGGATACAAGGAGATTTAATTACATCGTGAGAGTGAGTCCTCATCCCTTCCTTTTCTTCCAGTCTCTGTTTGTCTGCCTGTGTGGGTTTTAAATGGATGTTTTTGTCAGTGGCACAGAAGGGTTAAGGTTAAGAGGGTGTGTAGGCTTCTGCTTCGCTCTTATCAATGCTGTGCAGACAAGGGTCTCTCAGTGGTAATGATACTGACCCAGGGAGTGTATGTATGTGCTTGTGGTAGACTAAAACTGTGATAGCATGACATTTTTCTGTAAGAGGATTGCTAAAGCCATTTGGCATCCCTAAACCAATCCTGTATCAAAGACCAATTCCTATATACCACTTTACTAGTTTTAAGAATTTTATAAACTGCATGTCTGCAGTGTAAAACGGATGCACTGAGTTTTCAAATTTCACATTGTACGTAGCATTTTCACTTGGGATGCCAAATAGCGTGATGAAAAATGTCCACTCAAGGGGAGATGTGTCATAATCCTTAATCATGATATCATTAAGAGTGATGTAATTACATTATGGGATGTCAATAGAAAATTATTCAGTTTAAATTCAGAGCTTTTACCTTGCACATCAAAATGTCACTGCATTATACTGATCTATATACTGAACACCGGCTCTCCCACATGTGCTCCCATGTGAGCTGCATGTGCCCGTGTCCTCCTGTACTGTTGGAGGTGGGGGGGTTGAGTAGGGGTGACAGTTGTGCGGTGAGGTGCGACCACCTGACAGGGGTTTATGAAACCAGACCCGGTGGTTGTCAGGTGATTTAGACCCCAAAACACACACATAGACAGACTTGCCTCTGCCAGACTTAAGCTTCTTCCTTTTGTGTTGTCTCCTAGTCTGTCTCACTTTCCTGCTTTCCTATTGAAGTGCGAACTTAATGAATGTTGTGGTATGAGAAACCAGTTCAGGCATGGTCAGGAGGAGACGAGGCAACTTTCCATTTTGGCAGGACAGTGAGATTACAGCGGATCATGTTTTATGAGTGTTTTGTTGTTTTTATCTACAGCCATGAACCCATAAACACAGGTTTAGTATATCAAGTTCCTGAGATATCAGAATGCAAAACAATCTGATATTCTGAGTGATCAAACTTTTTAATCTCTTTACACTTTAACTTTCCACATATAGTTCGCCATTTGCTAGAGCCTCTGTTGGAGTTTTGGATTACCCTTTCATTGCAGGCCCCAGCTAACAAGTGCAGTGTAGTGTGCTAAGACCAAAGAACAATATGGCTGTGTAACATTAGCGTCTGGTCTGGACATGGTGTCCTAGGTCACTGCTCTTCACTGGTTGCGTCTGATGGCATTTGTAGGTTCGTTTAACTCTGTCTCCGTTACACAGATCAGGTTCTTCCACAAAGAGACAACAAGTGGTCCTCTCTCTCTTTCTTGGAGCAGACAAATGGAGGTTATTTCAAGGAGACAGAAACCTTAAAGTGAACTTGTTTTAGCAGGGCCATCTTATCTTCCAATACTGTCTGTGTGTTTGTGGAAAAAAAGTGTGAGCCGCGGTGCCAAGCTATGGAGTGCAGTTTAGCGAACAGCGGGGGCTAAAAGTAGATACGGAAATGCACATTGTTCTGCCCGGCTGCTCTACAAAGAGAGGAGCACTTGATGAGCTGCTAAAAGAAGCAGGGCATGGGATTAGCTTTTAGGAACGGAGCTGGAAAGAATGGAAAAACGGGAGCCAGGAGGGAGAAAAGAAGCTTAAAGTTGGTAAAAACGGACTGGGAGGTAGAGGATGTAGGAGAGAAGTAATTTATTCCAAAGCTGGGTATTATTATTAAGATCCTCAAACTCATCACCGTTTTATTTAGGATATGGCTGAATGCTTGCTTGCAGTAGGTGTCATTTGTAGTAAAGTTGCATTTCATAGTTTACCAAAAAGCACCCCAACATGTTGATGTTGGTATGATGACAAAGGTCAGGAGTTGAGTTTCTCCATGATGTCACAGCATCTGTTACATGCCAGACATGCCACCCTCGAACCCGCCGTTTGTCGGCTAGCTAGTGGCAACAAGCGCGCAGACATACACGTAAACACACGAGCTTGTTTGCATGGACACACAAGTGCACACACTCTTGTGTCAAATGATTCAGCTAATTCACATGACAGGAGTATCAGGAGTCAAATGATTAAAAGCTTGTTTGTGGAGGCTGATGTTGTTGACAGCCTGGGCTGCTTTCCAACACCTTTCCAGTAGCTTCTTCCCCCTGACGAGACTCTGATCAAGAAATATCAGAGGCAAGAATGTTGTTGGATCCAACTTCAGTTGAGAGTAAAGACCAGGTGGAACCGCTCCAAATTTGTTCTAGACAGCATTTATTGTTAGGAACGCAAGTGCCTTTGTAAGAATGCAGCATAACAAACATTAAGTAATGAGGCAATGGAACAGAGAGTCTCAGCAGCTGACAGGATGAAAATTTATGTTGTGTTTCTTTCTTTCTGTCTGTTTTCTTTCTCTGCTCCAGCTTCTGGAGCTTATCGCCACATCCCAGCTCCCCTCGCTCAGCGGAGTGGCGCAGAAAAATTACATGAATATTCTGGAGAGAGTGGTACAGAAAGGTGAGACCTGTCGCTCTTCTCTCAAGTCACTCGACTAGTTTGCCTCAGAGTTCAAACAAACAATTCACCCCCTGAATCTATTTCATTTTCTTTTTTGTCAGTTCAGGTATACTAGACTCTTTCTTTGTAAAGGTTATAAACAAAAACATATGTAGAGCAAACATGAAACCTTCCTGCTTTGTTGTTTGCACCAGTAGGTGAGGAAATGAGCCCTGACAACATCTAAAGAAGGCAGAGGAGTGAATCTAGTGCTCTAATGGCACAGAGAAAAACACTGACAGTCACCAGATCCCTCTGTAAGCCACAGTGTAAACTAAATGTTCCCTCTGATAAACACAGATTCAGGTTGTTTAGGTGGCGTTATGGAACCTGTTGGCCAAATATTATGATCATCTCATGAGGAGAGAACAGCAACTCCAAAACATTTAGTTTAACATTATGATTTTTGATGATTCACAATAAATATTTTACTGTTCGGCTGTTGGCCTGGTTGCTACTAATCTTTCTGTGACACTCGGAGGGTTTAAGACCTCACTTTTGGTCATAATTGGAAGTAATGATTTGAGCTCAATGAATAGCTTCTGATTTCCTCCTACAGTCCTCGTTGACCAGCAGAACGTCCGTCCCATCAAAGAGCTGCTGCAAACGCTGTACGTCTCGCTGTGTGGTCTCGTTCAGGACATGGGCAAGTCTGTCCTGGTGGGGAACATCAACATCTGGGTGCACCGCATGGAGAACATCCTGCAGTGGCAGCAGCAGCTGGACAGCATCCAGATTAACAGGGTAGGGCTGGACCACGAGCTGAACTCAAAAGTGCTCAAATGATGTCAAATTTAGGGATTTAAAGAAAGCGTTAAAATGTAATTTCATTTATATTCCACCTCCTGTTTCCTGCAGCCCACATCCACAGGCATGACCCTCACTGACCTGCCCGCAAGCCTGCAGCTCAACATCATGCAGCGTCTGTCGGACGGCAGAGACCTGGTCAGCCTGGGCCAAGTGTGTCCCGATCTGGGCGCCCTCTCTGAGGACCGGCTGCTGTGGAAAAGGCTCTGCCAGTACCACTTCACAGACAGACAGGCATGTAGAAATGAATGGGTAATCTCTAAGCATGTATAGAATGAGAATATTGCGCACACACACACACACACACACACACACACACACACACAAACAGGTTAGTTGTCCTCAACCATGTCACTGCTTCAGCTGACCTACTTGATACCTGAGACAGTTAAAATAAAAGAATCATCTTCTTGACATAAATGCCATTAAAATCTCTCTGCAAGGAGGTCAAGCATCTCTGATAAACTTGACTTGCTACTGGAAAACAGGGGGGGTGCATACTCACACTGCAGTAACTTTTCACCATGTGAGAAAAGCATGCACTTGATCAGTGAGTGAGACGGTCTCAATCTATAAGGTAAAGTAGGTTACAATTAAGTTTCCTACAGGTCAGAGTTTAAATTTAGTTTGTCTTAGGGGAAAAGCTCCATCCATTAAGGCCCAAATCTGTGTTTGTTGAGTAGTTAATGTGGTGCAAAAGAAATTCTGAAGAAAGCTGACATTAAAGTGGATATTTCAAAGTATTTCTCTGTGTTTGGGTCATGTCTTAAAGTCTGTTTTCCTCTTCTTTAGATCCGAAAGCGCCTGATGGTGTCAGATAAAGGTCACCTGGAGTGGAAGAAGATGTACTTTAAGCTGAGCCGCTGCTATCCTCACAGAGAACAATACAGTGACACCCTGCACTTCTGCACACACTGCCACATCCTTTTCTGGAAGGTAGTATATGTTTTTTGTCTCTTTCACTTTGCACTTGATCTAAGGGGATATGAAAGTAAAATGTCACTGTTTGTAAAGCTGAAGATGAAACGGAAAAACACTAGACTTTAATATCGACGGTTGTGTTTCATTCTCTGTTTTTGCAGGACACAAACCATCCCTGCACAGCCAACAACCCCGAAAGTTGCACCATGTCCCTCTCCCCTCAAGACTTTATCAACCTTTTCAACTTCTGATTCCACGCAAATCCAGATGAACTGACTGTACATACTGTACATAGACGTGTACAATGTTGTTTTTGTTTATGGCACAATCAATTCTTGGATGTATATTTAGTCGAGGTTTGACTGGAGGGGGGCTCAGCGGGACAATTATGCAATCAGGATTCTTTTGGAAGAGTACACAGGCTGCTGGCAGGTTTCACTGTTGAAAGCGAGTGAATGTGACAGAGAGAAAAAGAGATGTTGGAGCCGTTGTGTTGTTGATGTAGGAGAGAGCAGAGGAGAAAGGGAACACTCAGCTGTCAGAGTTTAGTCTTAGTTTAATGTGGTTTTTGAAAAGACACCTCCAAATTAACACTTTTTATTTTTACCTTAGCTGCGTGCACTTGTTTTTCCCAATTTGGAAAATTAGATTTGATTTCTGGTTTTCAAACCTTGTAACTGTTATTTTCAACACGAGAAATAGGAAGATGATTTGATTTGTTTAAAATTGTGATTTGTTCAGTATGACATTACAAAGCCTGCTCACATGGGGTATGACAGTGTGTTTGACGTTCAGATGAGATTAGCAGTAATATTCAGTTTGGCACTGGGATGAGAGGAGAAAATCTTGATTTGCTGCACTACCTAGGAGATAATGAATGTAGGAAAGGGAGTCGGTAATTAATCATAAGACTGAGTGATGATTCTTTGATATGTTAACACACCACGATATCTTTTCTATTTTGTTTTGTTCTTTTTCACTTTTATATGGATTTGATATGTTTTTTTTTTTGTTTTTTTTTATTAATTGTGTGTTCGTTTTCTGCTGCGGCTGCAACAGCAACAGCACCTGAGTGCAGTATTACCAAAGATTGTAATCACAGCCACTATTACAATGGTGTGTGCCTTATTGTGAAACTTGAAACTGGTACAGCTTAATCCTTGTTTGTAATATTTTCAGATCCTGATGCTGTTTTTTTTTTTTTTAACATCACCAAGAGTGGTATTTAAGATCTGAGGCTCTGGTACCAAAGTCTGAAACATCGTATTTTTCTGTAGCCTCCTGCATGATTTTTTTTTTTTTTTTTTTTTAAACACACAACTGATTGTGTTTTTGTATTTATTTATTGAGATTCTGGCAAGTGGCTCAGCTTGCACTATTGGGTTTGAAGAAAGGCTGTGTGACCCAGATTTTCCTCTATCACTGCTTAGACAGTGAGGAATGATGTACATGCTATGCAATGCGTTTTGTTTATGTTCTGTTGAATAAATAAACAAAAATAACCATACATGTAGCCTTAATTAGATTTTTCTCAGCACACTGAACCAGTATATAGAAAATTGTTAAAAGAGCTGAAACTGAAATGGGCCTCCTGCTGGAGGTGAACGGGAACAGCCCTTTGGTTCTCCTGTTGCTAACAGCAAATGTGTGCTCTCTGCTGGACAAATGATGAACTGCAACGTAGTGATTAAACAATTTAGAAAGAAGGTGCTTGGCATCATCAGGACAACAAACTGTCTGTGTGAGATGTTTTCTCTGCCTCTGAGTTTCCATCGATATTCACACCTGAGTGTTTCTTACTGGAACAGAAAAATGAAACTACGCTTAGATGATGAAACACTGAACTGAGACTCAAAAAAAACAAAGGGAATTCTTAACAGGAAAGCATCTCAGCCTACTCGAACAATGGTGGGGGAAATGCTCAAGGCACTAAGTAACTATGAGAGCAAGCAGATCTCTCCGGTGTCTTTTCACTAAAAGGACCCTGGGATATTAGTCTTAATTAGGCAGGCCTGCTGTATAATAACACAAGGGTTATTAGACAGTGAACAACAACAAACACAGTGTTCACGTCATCAATTTCTAAAATGAAATTTTCTCAAACAATTGTTTTAATTGTTGTAGTAGGACAACAGTTGAAGTTAAAACAGAATTTAAAAAGCAAATGAAACATTTTTACATGACACTGACAATATAAACAATGTAATGATTCACTGCTTGTTATGCAATGTATTTAAATAAATAATATTTATACAAATATTATGTAAATATTATTCATTTTGACCAAGAAAAATGAATTAGCACGTAAGTCATGGTGTGCATCTTTCACTGCAGCATTGAGTACAGTACTGGCCTGCTCCTCAGGGGCAAACAGGTAGTATTTACGGAATAGTTTGACATTAGGAAGCATGATGCGTAGGACTGGCATAGACATAACACTGCCAAAGCAATAATACACAGGCATCGATTTAAGGCCATACGAATAGGTAATTCTGCCCACAGAGAGAGTCCATCCATCATTTTACTACACTGGCATCTTCATCTTCCTCATTAGTCCAATTACCAATCTGCCGGCTTAAGGCGATACTGCCTATCAATTTTACATCAAAAAGGTGCCAGTGTATTGATGCTTTGACAGCAAAAACACAAGGCAATATTAATGGTACATTCCCATCTTTTTTCTGATATAAACAATATAATTTTTTAGATAATTAGAGCTAGCTGCCTGGCTAACTAGCTACCACACTGCCCATTTTTCTCTAATCCCCCCCCCCCCCTTCCTTCCTTCCCTTCCTTGTACTACTATCATGCAAACATATCATCTACAGTTTGTGCCTCTTGAAACACATAATAAGCACCAGTATCAACTCTGACCTTAACTGCTAGTATTGGAGTCTCCAGTGTGTGACATTACAGATGAATTACATCAGGAAAAATAAAGTTATGAAGTTTGTTGCATATCATATTGTTTTCAAAAGATTGTGCGTGTCTCCCTCTTGCATCCTTCCTTGAGTATCTTTTTAAACTGAAGCTATGACATGAGATCAAAGTATATGTGGAGTTGTAATATAATATTCAAACCAGTGGAGTTTGGTATGCTCATAAATGACTTTTTAAAACCATGTGGCGATTTAGCAGGAGAGTATGTTCAACACAATGCCTTAATTAGAACTGTTAATGGGTTAATGAGCCTTTAAATCCGACTATAACACGCTTTCGCTCCTTTTAACCATTCAGCTTTGGCAACATTTCACCGTCTGTCTGAGCTTCCAGTGCATGTAGTCTAGAGGTGAGAGAGGGAGGCTGTGGGGGTGAAAATCCACAACAGCTCCCACACAGTTCAAGTCCCAACTGCAGAGGATCCCGAGATGCTGAAGTTCCCCGGTGGTTTATGAGGTGTAGCCGGGGAAAGTCGTCGAGACTGTGGAACTGCAGCCCTGTGTGCGCAAACATATGAGCGCTGAGCATCGTGTGACACGTATACTAATGTAACACTTCTTGTTGCAGCTTTGAGGGTGAGAAAAGTAGCATGCTTGTAATAATCTGGTAAGACTGGAGGACAAAGTTGCAAAGGAAAGCAAAGAGTTACCAGAGTTAGTAAATGTCACAGAGAGGTACGTTCTCTCTTTCAGAGTTCTGAATAATCCACTCAATAGCATCCCAGCCCTACAGATTCACAGAGAGACAGAAGATTAAAGAAGAGCCGAACACACAGACAGGTGAACAACTGGCCCTGGAACAGTCCCAGTTAGATGGCATGCAAAGGAATCATCAGCAATACCTTTATCGCTTGAACCAGAATTCAGATTACATGCAAAAGATGAAACAACTGTATAGATAGAAATGTGCTGTTGTTATTTTCTCTTACCTTCCTGGCATTAGCTGACATTCTCCTGGCCATCATCCCCTCCAGGTAACTGCTTAGACTGACTCCCTTGACTGTAATGATGGCCTCCTGGGTCAGGACGGTACTGAGGGGCGAGTGAGGGAGGTGACAGAGAGAGAGAGAGAGAGAGAGGGAACATGAATACTGTAAGACATTAATAAACAGTTTAACATTGTGTACTTGCAAGAACACGATGTCTAGCTCATTCTGTTTCCTGTTTTTGGTGTGTGCACTGTTACATTCTGAAACTAGACTAAGTATGCATGCACTACAGCCAGAAGTACTCTCAGAAATTAAATGCAAAGTGAATTCAATTGTACAGTGTACTTACACCTCAGGGTTGTCTGGGTGTGGCCTGTAAAGAAGTCTCTCATCCACTGATATGAGGTTGGTGAGAGTAATCTGGAAGACAAAACAGATTAAGCTTTCCTTCCTTTATCAGTTATTAACAGGATGCAATATCTATTACAATGTACTATGGTATTTCCTGTATATTCTTTTTAATCTGAAATATCCACTTCATAGTCTGAACACTTGTGCAATTGTTTATGAACATTTTAAGACACTGTTTTACATTATGCTGTATTCTCATTTTGCAGTGTGCACAAACTGTCTAAATACACTGTGTAACCAGTGTTAAGTCAGTGCTGATGGGCTCAGTGCAAACTCACATTTGTTGAACACAACTCCATCTTTTTCTCCTCAGGGTCGACTATGGAGTGTTCCTTCACATAGGTCTGCGTATGGTTGGTCCCTAGTATCTGCAAACACAATAATACACAGTATGTACAGTGAAATCATCCTGAATATAATTTGCCGTGTGTACGTGCATGAAACTGATTTTACAGGAGCCACTTCTAGGAGCTGTTGATGGTCTCTACAGCACTGACTGTGCTCACTCCAGATGAATGGAGTCAGACTACTCTTAATTCAACTAATGAACTGTTGGAGCCTCATCACAGAGCCTGCAGGCCCTTGAGCATCATTTGGAAACTCAGATCTTTATCTTCTCCATGTATACATGCATGCACCTGTGTGCCTCTGAGCATGCATGCATGTGTATGTCTATACATCTAAAGTGTGTGTCTGTGTGTTGATGGCTGACCGCTCGTACGATCCCTGGTAGGCCCCACTCTGTGCTCAGGAGTCTGTGGCTGTGCAAACGTCCCTCAGCGTCCAGGCCGCGGTCCAGCACGTCCACCCCGACCACGTTAGGATTCATGGGGTTGGGGTACTTCCTCATGGCAGCCTTGATCACTGTCTCCCACGGGTAACTGCACACAATCCAGCACAAAATAACATGAATGGGAAGAAACATATACACTGACAAAGACATTATAGGTTTCATCATCTCCTTATGAAATGAAGTGCACATGGTTGTTGAAGTCAGGGTCTAATCAAGCAAACAAACTTTCCTGTAGAGTTTCTCTACAACAAAACTGACTGAGGCTGTGTTGATGGGTTTGTACTGGGGTTTACTGATATAAGACACCTGACAGTTCACTGACTCCTGGTGTTAAATGCTCATAGTGACTCACCATCACTCGGTGGAATCATAATAAAGAATATGTGGAATTTATTGGCCACAATCATAAAGTCATACGCGTCAGAGTTTTATGCTCCAGTTTAAACTCAGATAACAAGGTCGACCTAGCCTGCAACTACAGATCAGTTCACCCTGCGTTACCAATCATTGCAACAATAATGACCAGTGTGACCGACCTGAAAACATGTTCCGTGCTCCAAATCTTCATTTTTTCCCCCAAAACACAGTCTTGACCTTTTCGCTGAAAACCCCTCCGTCGTCCGAAACTATACCTCACCGGACCATTTTCTTATGAGGAACTAGCTGCACTGATCAGAGAGCAGGGCCTGTGATGGAAGCTCACGACCATCAGTGAAGTGAGTCCCAGGAGCGCTTTATTTCAACCTCGCGTAAGCACTGCGCCAAATGCTCTGACTGACCCGACAGTGTCGCAGGACTAAGAGACAGAAAACATATGGTCTACGGTTTGCAATAACAAATAGCTCGTATATGCAAAGGACAAGAGGGAAGCCGGTGCAACCGCGGAGCCACCGAGTGTCTAGTTAGACGGAGTGAGAGACAGGATTGTGGTCAGGAATTTCAAAATAAAATGCTTTTGATGATCCGTCATGATAGCGGATTATGTTTTATCGACATCACCTCAGCTTTATCCTGCCAGATGTTGTTTTAGAAACATTATACAGAACGAGGCGATTACAAAAACATTAAGAAGTGGCTCGTCCTGTGCGATACAAATAGTTTCAGTCACACTTTTGAATAACTGGGGATCAAAATAACTTTAATAATACACAATACTAATAAAGAAATCCACTGACATTTGGTCAGTCATTTCATAGTTTTCCTTCATTACTATCCATTAGCCACTTTTATCATAAGACCTTGTAGCAGTGTGATGCAATAGACTATGTTATCGTGTATCTCTTTTACAGCGAAACGGACTCACTTTTGATGTGTTAATTCCACTAGGAACTTTTCTGCAACCAACAGTTGTTTTTTGTCGACAGTCAGACAGTTTAACTTTGAAGGTAAAGCCACTGCTTTTTCCGTCTTACTCTGGTTGCGTCCTGCTGACTTGACGAAACTGATGTAGACCTGCTGCTGCAGCTGCCTCCATTTGTACGCATGCGCATAGCATCTTTCCATCTTTCCCGACAAGTGGCACCTACAGGAGTGGAGCTGCATCAAGCTGCACAGAGACAGTCAGCGTCAGACAGGATATACAGTAATAAACATTTCAAATAAAAGCGTGAAGTGCAACTAAAAATATAATAGGCTACAAATATGAAGGCTATGATTATGTAGCTTTGAAATTCATCATTTTCTAGGATATTTTCACATTTTTACCCTAAGGACATAAAAAAAAAAATAAATAAAATTGTCGACGTTTTATTGTGAAAGTCTCACCGGAAGTGGATTGTGAATTCTGGCTGTCTTGACGCTGGCGCTGTGGAGATCGGAGGAGAAAATCATTGAAGCGGACGCGCAGCGGAGGCTAGTGAGGTCTCTGAACGGGAAATTCATGCCATCGCCGTATAGGCTACTCAACGGCCCGTTTATTTCACTGTGGACACGAAACAATTAATCAGATCATAGAAAACGCGACCAGCTGATTACAAGGCGGAGTAACGCACACTTCATGGCCTTGCAGTGAATGTCATAAAAGAGGGATTTTTTAAGCACCGGCACGGTAAGGTAACAAGCATCTTCATTCGCACGGAGCAGAGGGCGAGACCGATGTATATATGATGGTCTGCTGTGTGTTTGCTGTGTGCAGCCTTGATTTCGACTCTGTTGTGGACAGTAATCGTCTTGTTTATCTAAGATGGAAACAGCTCAGAGGTTCTGAAAAATCATATTGGTTATAGGACTGCATGCAGCCTACTTGAAGGCCGAACTGCATGCCGCAGAATGCAAAAATGTTATACGGTGAAAAGCTTGAATTATACATATATTAGGCCAAGCCTCTAAATATACAACATGATGTTAAATGTGTATTTTAATCTGTTCTGAATGGTTTATTCTCAGAGCAGGTTGTAGGTACGGAGAGCGAGTGCAGGGCTATGGCAGATGCTGCAGCAGCGCTTGATCCGCTTCAGGCTGGAGATAGAGGGAGAGGGGGTGGGGGAGGTGGGGGGGGGCGTCATCTTTTTAGGATCATTAAATCACTGTGTGTCTGACCGAGCTCTCCGCTACTTATCAGCCGATGCGTCAGTCTGGCTCTATAGGAGATGGCCCATTTCAATGTAAAAGTGGGGCACGAGGCAATCCCTCTCATTATTAAGTGCCAACGCCAGGTCGGCCGGTGGTCGCGCTGAAGCCAAAAATCTGCTGACACATGCGCTCTGCCGGCTGGTGCTCCCAGCCTTTGTGCGCAATGAAACCTATAGCCCATCTATCAGGGCCTCATGGGTCCACACACTCCTGTAGGCTTAGAGCCGGCCTCCAGCTTCCTTTAACGATTCACAGTATTTAAGGTTGAATTATTTCATAATAATCTACAAAATGAAATTATTATTATTATATTCCAGTTTAAAGAGAAAAGCACAGTTAGAGTTACATTATGAATTATTGATCTCTTGGAGGATGGCATCACTCTGACTCAGTGGAATCAGTTTTATCCATCAAAAGCTGAGATTTGAAAGGCCTCTGTTTTCACATCTCTCTTTTCGATTTCAGCTCCACAGCCACAGCCATGGAGATTGTCACACATTTAATAAATGACACCATAGAGTTCTACAAATGGACCCTAACTATTGCAGGTAATATTCTTGTTTTTTCCTGTCTGCGAGTCAGTGTAAGAAATCTCTTTTACAAATATGTTGCTTTACAAGTGACCAAACACATTTTCATGTGTGCACTTGTATACAGCACATATACATCTACAGGTATGTTGTCTGTAATGCGTCAGTATAGAATGAGTCAGTAAAGGGATGGTGCTTCAGTGTGAATTTATGATAGGATGAGTCAAAGTTGCACCATATAGTTGAAGAATATATTTGTGTCTGTGTGTGTGTGTGCCTGCTCATAAAGTGACTTAAAATATATTGCAATATATTGATTTTTTAAATTGGTGTTTTGTCCTGTCGTTCTCCTTCATCTGTACCTCTGCCCTAACTGAGCTGGAATCAGAAGGTGAATGAATGAAGACTGCTGTGGGGATGACTGCACTAGACAATAAACAATACTGTACTTGAGAACTATAATCGACATTCACATTTAAGAGTATCACATGCATCAAACTGCCCTCCAGACAGGTCACCTTGGGACAAAATCCATCATCTGCATTCCTGCTCAACACTTGCTTGACCTGCTCTCCTCTTAAAATAAACTGGCACTGAACCCACACTGTGGCAATATAATACAAACATTAAGAATAGTTATGTAACGCTGTGAGAACATGTTTTCCACAGACAAGCGAGTGGAGAAATGGCCTCTGATGGACAACCCCCTGCCCACACTGGCCATCAGCACCTCCTACCTGCTCTTCCTCTGGCTGGGGCCCAAATACATGAAGAACAGAGAGCCCTTCCAGCTCCGCAAAACCCTCATTGTCTACAACTTCAGCATGGTCTTCCTCAACTTCTTCATCTTTAAAGAGGTTAGTTGTAGTTAGGGAATAAGCTCAGTGTCCCGCTGCATGTGTGAAATAGTAGTGTAGTCAATCTTATCCCAACTATCCGCCCAGATGAATATGTTACAGTCGCAGTTTCACCCCCTGGGTTTAGACTAAACTTATTACAGTGTATTCAGCCTGCACTCCACCTCTCTTCCCCTCTGTGTCTCCTCTCACTCTGTGTCTCTGCCTTTGTTCATTTATATCAATCACTCAATAGAGACGTTCTCTTGTCCTCTAGCTGTTTATGGCAGCACGGGCCGCAAGCTACAGTTACATTTGTCAACCGGTGGACTATTCGGACGACCCCAATGAAGTCAGGGTGAGTGTTTGGAGCTGCGGACACTCGCACCTAACTCCACTAACATGTTTCACAGACTGATGGTGATCTCACTTCACTGTAGAGCTCTACTGTACCCAGATGAATAAGAAACTCCTTGTCAGTGTGCCAGTGAAGCTTCACTGTGGTTTCACTCAGTGGTTTTAGAAACACGATCACCCTCCACTCATTTGGACCCTGGTCCTGTTATCAGAAACAGAGCGAGCTGGAGGAGGGATCGTGGAGGGTGTTCAGTTACACCTTCCTTCCTGTTGCTCCATGACGTAGTTCCACACCACAGAGTCGTTTGGTCTCAGGTGACCCTGAGCTTGAGATGTTGCAGAATAGATTAGATGAAGGAAATGCAAATATGTGTGGAATTCAGTTTAATCGATACAGCTTTATATTAGATTGAGTCCAAATGAAGTACTGCTCTCCTCTAACTGTCTGTGTTTCCCTGTTTGTGTCAATTTCCTGCCTCCTCCTTCAACATGTTTCTCATGTCCTGTCTGAGACAGGTGGCGGGAGCTCTGTGGTGGTATTTCATCTCTAAAGGCATCGAGTACCTGGACACAGTGTTTTTTATCCTGAGGAAAAAATTCAACCAGGTTACCTTCCTGCATGTCTACCACCACTGCACCATGTTCACGCTCTGGTGGATCGGCATCAAATGGGTGGCAGGAGGACAGTGTGAGTAGCTTGTGCTACATTGAATATCAAGACCATGCTTTGTGCTTATTGCTGTCTATAAAATGCTATATTATAAAATCTTGAAATCAAAATTCTCCCAGCCAATTAAATACTAATCGCCTACATATAGGCCTACTGTAATTCACACAATTTTCCAAAGTGCATCATAAGTTGTAGGAATGTTAGCATGTTAGCATGTTTCACTAATTATCACTAAACACAAATTGCAGCTGATGCTGACGTGTCATTAAGTTAGCAGGTATTTGTTCATAAATATTAATATAATTAATATAGTATAGTATTATAGATATTGGTCAAATTTAGATTTTGACCTGGTGATGATGCTAGATGAAAAGTTAGGACATCGCTACATTTTGTAAAGACATTGATGCCAGCTAAAAAGTAATTAGGATTTATCCTCTTGAACAAAGCGGTGGCCCACTGACCGACATTTCCATCCCTCCAGCCATGTCTGCGAATTATTGTCTTTTTAATGGAAAAAGTAGAATAAGAGGTTCAGAGCAAACAGATTTGAGACTTGTGAGATTTGTGTGTTCTAGCTTTACAGTTGGCATGACAATATTAATCTTTGGTTTTATTTTCTTGTATTTGCAGCATTCTTTGGTGCACACATGAATGCAATGATCCATGTCTTGATGTATCTGTATTATGGCCTGGCCTCCTGCGGACCTAAGATCCAAAAGTATCTGTGGTGGAAGAAGTATCTGACCATCATCCAGATGGTAAGACGTTTCCACTGTGGCTAACTTTCCATCACGTATATACATTTACAGTAACACACTGTGGAAGGTTAATCTTACTGAAGTAATGAATCTGTCACGAACTTGAAAAGCTGTGAAACCACGATGGAAAGATCCATAATGTGACTTTCTCTCTGTGTGTCTCAGATTCAGTTCCACGTCACCATCGGCCACACGGCCCTGTCCCTCTACGTCAACTGCGACTTCCCTCACTGGATGCACTACTCCCTCATCTGCTACGCCATCACCTTCATCATCCTCTTCGGCAACTTCTACTACCAGACCTACCGCCGGCAGCAGCCCAGACGCGACGCCTCCTCCTCCTCCAAAGCAGGCAAGGCCCTCTCTAACGGGACCCTCAATGGGCTCAGCAAGGCAGCCAATGGAGCAGTGGCGATGGGGAGCAAAGAGGAGAAGCCCCAGGAGAACTCTGGGAGGAGAAAGAGGAAAGGAAGAGCTAAAAGAGATTAGAGGAAGCGGAGTGAGAGAGGTTGAGGTGAGATAGGGCCTTGCTTTGGGTTCTCAGTTGCTAGTGCTAAAACATGAAAGACTTAATTTGAGGACAATATAGATGAATGGATATGTTAAGGTGTGATGTGTTTATTTAAGCCATGATCTGAGTGTTGTAGATACAATCTGAGACAGGCCTGTGTTGAGAGAGGATCGTTGTGTTAGTGAGAGGTGTCAAAGGTCGCACCTAAGCTGACCGTTATCACAAATAACCCAAAATACAGTAGTGTCTGGTACGGGATAGAACTTAGTATTCCTTCTCTTTAATGTGGTGCCGAGTACTGAAGACATGGCTCAAAAAGAGCGACTTCCAGCGACTAAAAAGCAAGCCTGAAAAGGAAACATCAAACACAGAGTTTAGCAGGCCCATATGACATGCTGGGAATGCCACACTAAATGCTCCTCAGCTGCTTGAAAAAGATTATGTACCATCATTATTAGAGATCACTGCTGTACTGAGACAGGAATACACATCATAACACATGCACAAACATGTCAGTTTATATTTGAGCTCATTATTTTTCGTTGTCCACTTTTACTGATATAAAACAGATGATAATGTACAGTATCATGTCATATTTGTCCGCATCTCCTTCAAGCTATTATTGATGTTACATAAAAGAGATTTAAGTTTACAGTACATGTCTACTGACACCTCTGCAGTTATCCACTTATTTTTGAACATTTTTTCTTCTTATTTATTCAGAGTCAAGGACTCTCACTTTTGAGCTGTCATCCATTAGCGCACAGTTACATTCTAAAGAAGGAAAATAAATCGGTGTCCAGAGATAAGATGTACATAGAAAAAGAAAAAATAGATTTCTAACCCTTTGAGGCCGGGATGAGGTTGTTTCATCGCTGTTTAAAAATGGAATAATCATCAACTGTTGCTCACAGTAGGTTAAGATTTAGATTTTCTATTTCTGTATGCAAGCATAACCCCTTTTATATATCCCTACTTGTATGTAATGTGATGAAATATAATGAATACTATCCAGAGAAATGATGAATCTGATGATTATCTCAATGTCTCCCACTTTTGACAGAGAAGCTGGTGGAGTTTTGTCTTTGCAGATGTTTACCTGTCTTTTTATATCCTCTCTGATGTCGTTGTTTGTCTTACTCGCTGGTGAAAATGTTGTGTGCCGAACAAAGAAGCGGTGTGTGGGAATCTGGGTTCCCTTTGTATTTGCGGAGAATTCAGAACAAGCTTATAGCCAGTTTTGATTATAAGTTAACAAAACCTATTTTCTTCCAATATTCAATCAAATATCTTTTTTGTGTCTAAGTTTTCTGGCTCAATCCATTTCCTGAGCTGGCTTGAATGTAAATTTATCAGGGGAAAAATTTGCATTGAAAAAGATTAGAGATGGTTATGAATTCTTTACAAAACGAGCTGGTGAACCTCTATAGTGACTGTGTATGTTATACCACTATGAAGAATAACTTTGCTCTGCCTGTAGTATATAGAGTATAAATCAATGGTCGGCTCTATATCAGCAAATCCAGCTTTATGTCATCCATCAACCAATGCATTTTGATGTTATTTATTGGTTTGTTCTATTTATTTTATGTAAATACCAGTTTCCATCTAGCTGAGAGTGCTCGTCTGTGTATTTGTGTTCTTTTTGTGTTGTACATATTACATTGTGATATTTTGTACAATGCGCATTTGGGAATGTTCCCAGCTTGTTAGCTTGGACATTTTTACGCCCACATTGCTTCTGTGTGTGAGTTTTTTTTTTTAAGTATCATAACTTCGAACTCTCTTCAAATTAAATTAAACTGTATGCCTGTTCAAATGTTGGCTGCCTTTTTCACTTGATTTAACTTCATACTTCATACTGTAATAAATGTCATGACTCCTTAACAAGGATATAAATTATTTTACATTCTCTGTGGATCAAGACTGTGTTTTTACATGAATGACATTTGTGGCTTGACCACTATTGATAACAGAAGTGCAGAGTAGGTTTCCAACACTAGAGGGCAACATGGTCTCATTTTAGTAAATGAGCATAGTAGTTATTATTATATAGTAATTATTATACAGTAAGCTCACTGTGTTTCAAACGATTTGAACCGTACACTGTAGTTATGGAAATGACCTCTTCTCAAGAGCTTCATCAAGGTTTATAACATAAATAGTAACAATATTATCATCCAAAGGTTTTAATGGACATCTGTGAAGTTTTCGGGTCAGTTCCTGGTTAGCAGTTTGGTATTGTGTTGAGATCAAAACTCATTTCCCCCTGGCACTGCCAAGTATGGGGCGGCCTTCACACGCTGTTTCTTTGCCTTTCATTATCTGTAAAATGGGGTGAAACCCAGTGTTGGAAAGTAACTAAGTATAATTACTCAAGCGCTCCAAGTCAGTTAAAAGATATTTAATTGAGTTTTTCTTTTCTGCTACTTTATACTTGGACTCTGACATTGAAATATTGTGCTTTTCACTCCACAACATTTATCCGGAAAATACCTGGAATATGATCGATCAATATGACATGATGTATTGTCATAGATTAAACACCTCATTACATACGGAGTTATTCAAATGAGCTTGACCAACTATAAAACACTGCTCACATGTTAATGCACCAGCAGTAATAATCAAATAACACAACACATATATAATATTTCAGCACTCTGAAAATGGACATTTCGCATAATTAGAGCTTTTACTTTTGATACTTGAAGTACATTTAGCTAAGAGTTACGTACAACAATACTTTGTCCTAAATAAGATTTTGAATGCAGGATTTTTACTTGTAGTAGAGAGTTTTTTTACATTGTGGTATTGCTACTTAAAAAAATCGGAATAAATACAGATTTAGGTGTGAAATTTTCATAGTATTGTTGCAATTCAACCTCATTTTTATGCTTTTCAATTCACCGTTTTCGTCAGCCTATCAAAAGTGCTAAATTAACAATATCAATGTTACATTTTTAAATCCACTTCAGTCTATGCGTATAGCAAATAAGCATCAAAGGGAGGAGTGCAGGAGTATAAGGGGTGGTTCCAGTACAGGGTGGGGTCATGTCTGTCACATGTTGCTTGTCTGATACACACACAAAAGAAAAACTGTTCCAAAGGTAAATCTCTGGAAACCTGTTTGGTATCCAAAAAGAAAACCTCTCAAAACTGAATTCATAGCACTACTCATCCCTGTCGAATTCTCTTCCCATTTTGACGAGTTCAGACAAAGGTTTCCATGGTAACTGTACACAGCAGCTGTCTGACCCCCATACCCCGTCATCCTCCCAAACCCCTCCCACCCCCACTCACTCATCCCCCTCCCCCTGCCTCTTCTTCGTCTTGAATCAGCTGGGGTCCATGTGGGAAACAGCAGAAGCGCAATAAACTATTAAACAGGGCTTTAGTGCTTATGTGTGTGTGTGTGTCTATGTGAATGTATGAGTGGGTGGATTAGTGTGTGGAGGTTTCAATTATGCGTGTGTGTTTGCTTGTGTAATAGGTGGACCGATTGAGAAACACATTTGTGTGTGTGTGCAATCCCCCCGCAGAGTTTATGAGTGGGAGGCATCCACCAGCTGAGGGGTATTACATGGATGATGTTTGTGTTATTCCTCAACCCAGGGCAATAATTTCACAACTCGGTAACAGAATACCGTAACATCATCAACAACCTTTCTCTTGGAAGGTGGCCCCATATCCTTACAACTGTCTCACCCCTCTCCTCACTGTCTCCTCTGGTGGACAGACGCATGTCTAGAGCAGAAAAGCTCTGAGAGGGAGGAGTCTGCAGGACAAATGATTTACTGCTGCTGATGAATCGCAAGCTGTGAAATAAGACTCAAACATCTGCAGCAGAATACAGTTGGTATTCTGTATAAATCTCAAAAACATGTCTGACATTTTGGCCAAACGTTTCGATTTTTCATTGGCACTCAAATGCCTTGCAGCTCTTTTTAAACAATAAGCCCTTATACGTCTTTTATGATAGACAACGTGGCAGATTTCTGCTCATCATCCTTAGTATTGTAGCTTAAGAATGCCAGTTGATGTGTTTTGTGTTGGTGTTAACTCTAATTAGTGTAATCTCATTAATGTGTAGCTTTTCAGATTCATGTCTAATGCTTTCATTCAAACGTCAGCCTTGATTAGAAACGAAATGACCTTCCTCTCTTCTGTATCTCCACACACCACATGAGAAGAGGATAAAGACTAAATACAAAGTCACAGCCAGACATACAGAATGTACATATGTTTGTGTAAGGAATACAATACACCACTGCCAGCACTAAGATGATTACCTCAGCATCTATACTATATGTCAGTTTGAATATGTGTCTGTATCTGTGCAGAACCGCCTCCTTCAGTCAAATCCCCTGTGGATTTCACAGCAAAGTAACAATTTTCCTGCCTGTCAGAGGCTCACTTGATATCTGGAGCACAACAACTGAGGCCAGAGACAGGCGTGCTTTTAAATGTCTCATGGGAGAAACGTACTGCACCAATGAGGCACTTGCTTCACACAGCCCTTCACTAGTTACCTGTCAGGATATGCACGTAAAGAATGATGATTTTTTATTATCTCCTCCATGGTATGTGATCACTTCAGGAACGATCAGTAATAAATCATGAAATAATGAAATTTACTATATATGCCTCTTCTTATCCACTTCTTGTATTTCTTTACATTATATTTCTTTGAGTGTATTATAAGACAAAATCTATTGTATAGTTTAGCCACTTTGGTCACAGTCACACCAATTCATAGCTGTTATGCTAATGTATATGCAAAAAGGATTAATTGAGGCAAAAATGTCACATATGGCATGTTAAGCGACACTAAACATTACCATCTAAAAATATGAAACCCAACACAGAAACTACAGCATGACACAGCAGATTGTTCCTGATAATATTCAACACTGACAAATACGCCACCCGGGATCCCCGTCTACACATAATGTTACTGTGATGATCCGGGGTATGGGTGTTCGTGAATAATAGAGAACGTGAGAATGAGAGAGAGCCTCGTGTGTGTGAAATGAATGAGGGTGTTATTTTTAGACAAGTGTTCATCTGGGCCTCGCTCGCTCTCTCTCTCTCTCTCACTCCCTCATAGCCTGTCCTCGTAGCTATACTCTTGTGCTCTCACCAGTGCGTGGTGTGGGATATAGAACTGGGAAGTGAAAAGCAGATTTACTACGCAAGAATATGGACAAATAAGAAAAAGAAAACACACAACAGTGACATCATCACTGCAGAAAATGTCCATCTTAACAAGTCACTCAGGCTCATGCTGAGTCTTAAACAGTCATTGCTCCTGATGGGATGAAATAGAATGAGTAAACTACTGCAGAAAGTATTTGAACAAACAGTCAGGATGGTGATTCAGTCCAGTAAAAATGACATTGAACATTCTCATCCAAAGTGATTAACACTATAAACAGGTTTAATTTACACTGCTTTAAGATGTAAAATGTCCAACTATTACATATATTCACTATGTGGTGATTTAATATTTCCCAGAGATGAAGAAAGTTGTATTTTTTCAGTGACACTTTTTCAGTCAAACATCACCTTTTGTTTTACTTTAGACAAAGCAGAATCAGTAATTTTGTCAGGCACATGGGAGCCTCCATAATGCAGACATCTGTCACTTAAATGCAAGCCAATGATTGAATAGTCCTGGGGCAGAAAGAGAGGATAGGTGGGGGAAGTGATGAATGTGTTTGTGTGTGTGTGTGTGTGTGTGTGTGTGTGTGTGTGTGTCTGTCACAGTGAAAGGGAGTGCAAGATCCAGACATCTGTTATCCTATTCAGAGAAAATGGATCATCATTATTGCCCAAAGCGGGCTGTTTGGCCCTGCTACATCTTGTCTGGCAATTAAACTGTGATTACAATAGCCTTATTTCTGAACGGATCAAGACATAGTGTTGTAAGAACCTGTTGTGACAGAAGCAAATGTATTGCACAGAGGTAGGAGCCTAAGAGCTGTGGTTACTGAAGTCTAGAAGCCAAAATCCCTGCCATAAAACTTTTAGAGCAGAGCAAATCCACAGGACTTCCTGCAAACTTACTTGTTATTTTACTCACACAGGGATGATGCATACAACATCAGTCCACCTTCTTTGCGGGGTGTATCTTCTGAACCACTTCAGATACTGTGTGTGTGTGTGTGGTGTGTGTGTGTGTGTGTGTGTGTGTGTGTGTGTGTGTGTGTGTGTGTGTGTGTGTGTGTGTTATGAGCTACTGGAGAAGGGCCAAAATTTTTAAACTCCAAATGACTGGTTGGATGGTTCTGACCCTGTGCAATATAATGCAATCAAAGATGCCTTGACTTTATGAAGAGCCCAGTAGAATCGGGGCCAGTTTCCAAACAGAATAAATGATCCTCAGTAACTAGTTCCAATGGAAACACATGCACACACACACACACACACACACACAAACACACACACATGAACCTGTTTTCAAACCAAATCCTTTCTAATTTCACATTTCCATTTCCTGACAACAGACACAGATTCAAACAAATTCTGGGAGAAATTAGTTAGCAGGCAGAACTCCAAATGAAATGTATTTATCCCCTGACAACATTAAGCACTGTGAGGCCTATTCTTCCCTCTCCAGACACTAAATTGTTTGACAAATGTTTTTGGGGCATTTGTGGAAGAATTTTGTGCTCCAGCTGCTTCAGTTTGGGGCTGTGTGTGCGAGAAAGAAAGATGGCGCTGGCCAAGCAACAATAATACTGGAGCTACCAACCTTTTCAATGTTTTGAAGCGGAGCCATGCAGCTTTCAAGCAAGAACCTCTGTGACCACACTGCATATTTCACTGAAATCCAAGCCACAAAAGGATGAGTCATTTCTGATGAT